TGTGCAGTAGGACATTCTGTTACAACCGCCACGTTGAGCAGTGTCTTCTTGCCCTCAGATTTCGTGCATAACGATCGATGCAGAGTCTTTGGAGGAATACCATTGCTAGATTGTGTCACAGGGCATCCGACTGTAAACACATTTCCGACATAAATCATGACAGCGCGATCCAACATTTTTGTCAAGGACAAATCCTTTCTGTTACTGACCATACTTGTGTGTAATCAATAGAGCAGGAACACGTGTGGAGCGGACAAATAACTCCACTTTGCTCAGTTCTCGAGTTTTATTAAGGCTGGTGGATTACCCACATCCGTTTGTTCATTTAGGTTGTTCATGTATTGAATGACGTAGGTAGCCTTCTCTGATCTGTCAAAAACGCCGCCAATGGCTTTGTTGTTCTTGAATCGTTCGGACTACCTAGCTGTGGGGTAATGGTAATAAAAGATAGTCAGAGCGAGGGCGTAAAATCGACAAAGCGTCAAGAGCACAGCCCATGCCGCCTGGGCAATTAAGCGGTGCGACGACTTAGACAGTGGGCAATTAGACGGTGAAAATGTAGCATATTTATGAGCAATGAATTGGTGTTTTGAAAAACTGGTCAATAAAGCGGGATGGGCTATAAACCGGGTGGACAATAAAGCGGGTTCCATTGTATAACACATGTGCCTGTTAAAGGAGAGACAGCAACCAGCAAAGCATGAACTTCCCGAACCGTACGATTCTTCACGGAGGGCCGCGAGCATATTTAGTGCATCGAGAAATTTCGTTCTCACGCCATATACTTACCAGATTGACAAGTTAAGCTCATATGTCACGATGATAGGTTAAATATCGCAAGATGGTAACCTGTACCCTTTCCGTGGATCCCAATTCTCAGCTGCGTATTGCAATAATACTTCCCTCGCATAGTAGATAAACGGATCACCGTTGTATTTGTGCACTAGTACTTGTGGCTTGCACCCTAACAAAATACGAGTCTTGCCAAGCACTCTTTTCGTCACCCGTGCTATTATATTATTCCCTGTAAGTGTCCCTCTACATCGAAATGCAACCAGTTCAATGGTGGCACATGCACTGAGACTGTCATATTATTGAACGTGTGCAGTTATCAGTGTGTATTTTCACAGTTAGGCAATAACACTGTTCTTCAGTCAGAAGAGTTATTGCGCTGCGGTCATCTCATATGTGAGCACCTGATCAACACTGGACATCAATGTCGTGTTAAATACTCATTTACGGTGCTCAAAGGGACTCAAAAGGCGCTTCCTGACTATAGCTGAAGCTCTTGCTATCGGACGCCTTCAGCCGGAATTATGCAAGCAGTGAGCTCTCGTGCAAGCGCTAGTTCTGAACTGGTCCTAACGCAGTTAGTAGGCCTCAAGGTCGCCGGTCCATCGTGACTCGTTTGAATCTGTTATTGATTGCTGTACATAATAAGTTCCCAGTTTAACTGTTTCCCCTAGCATCTGACGTCCTTGTCGTTGTACATAGCTAGCAATAGCTTTTTGCAAGTTTTAGTTATCTGCTTCATAATTGTAGCGCCTGACGATATTTATGTAAAAGAAATTTCTTCGCAATTGTTCTCTTCATGCCTGAATGGGCATAAGTTATGAGTATAAGAATCTCTATAGTACTGTTTCTCAAAGGGTGGTCCGCGGATGCCCAGGGGCTACTTTCAGTGAATCCGCGTGATCTCCCATAGTGGTACAATTCTAGTGGGAAATTTTATAGACGTGATCAGTCTATTTCACAAACTTATGACAAACATACTGTGAAAATTTTTAAATCAAATCTAGCGGTTTACATACTAGCCTTGTGCATTGCCCATGGAAACATACCTCTTCCAAGGAGGAAGCTTGTTTTGGCTGGGAGTTAAAATATAAGCGAACGAGGTTTTCCAAGTTCAGAAACATCGTGTGTTAATTTCACCGTAATGTCACGGGCAGTGGCTGGATGGGTCGTTCTATGTCCGCTCAAGCTCACATAACCCAGTCTATGTCCCTCGAGGGACAGCGAGAAGTATGCGATATGATAGAGCTCAAGTTTGCGGTCAATTCAAGTATTACTATCCTCCGAAAAATAAGCGAACCGGAAGGAGAGGCCCGTTTGCGGGATCGCGTCCATGGAAGCTCAGAAGGAAAGCGTGGATATTTCTGTGTTTAACGAATGTGCTCAGCCGATTCTGCGAACTCGAGGGAAACTACATCAGCGACGTTACAAAAGGGTGGCACATTCGTTCACTACGATACTTCTTTCAAAGTCCAACTTATCATAGTAACCAAATACCTGGTGTGTTTTGGACTCTTGTGTTTAATTATGTATCTCCATTGTGGTAGGTAGACATGTAACATCAACATGGACCATGAAATGAAGAATGGAACACTGTTAAATGTTTCACAGGAATATTCTTCGTCGAATTCAGATGTTGCAGTAGTTTTGCCATCCAGTGTGCCTTCTGAGCATGCAGCAACTGAGACGTGTGGTGCTTCTGTACTACCTGATGTGATGTAATATAAGTCTGTGCCAACCGGATCCTCTGTACCAGTTTGTAAGAGGCGGAAATACAACAACATTTCTCTTCGTTTTGGATGTATAGAGTCCAATAATTGTCCACAAGGTGACATGTGTAACAAGGTACTTCCAAACTTGTTGCCTATTAAAATGCAGCGGCATTTTGAAAAATTCATACGGACTGTAAAGACAGAAAAAGTACTTACAGTGCATGCAAGATGAAATATTGAAAACCCCAAACGTACGTGCTTCAGGCGTCGCAGACTGTAAAAAAGAGCTACGGAGGCATCTTATATCGTTAGTACTCGTAATGCGCTGACAGCAGAATCGAGAAACGTATCCGGCCATGCATACAAAATGGATAGAGATGACCTAAGACTCTTCCTTTCAACAAGCTTTTTACAGACTCTCTCTGTGTGATTTCTGATGCAAAGCGAACGAAGTGTACTTGTCATGGTAGACAGCTATCTCCGTGCTTCGCCCATTTGCCACAACAACTGTGTGAGATTGCATCTCGTATTATATCTATACAAAACAGAGTACCGAAACAGACCTGAAGCGTAACAAGATCCGAGGTTATAGCTTTCCTCAATAACACCTAGTATCAAACAAGTCAGCGCTGCATGTCGGAACGAATTTTATCCAAGTTATTAAGCCTTAATATAGTTGCATTTGCATGTAAGTTCAACAGCCTTCACTTTTGCCAACATAAATGAACAAGTGTGCAAATTCAGTGCACAGCGATGTACTCCACCTTATTCTTATGTTATTAAAGCCTAGTTCTGTGGATAAGGAAATCTCAGTAGTCCGTCATGCTAGGTTACCCTACAAAGTGGTGCAGTTCCGAAAAATTTGAGAACACCTGCTCTATAGTGAGACACGGCATCCTGTTGGCCGACGGTGTCTGACCAATGAGGAAGCTACTCGTCGGTGCGTGTGTGCACCTTAGCCAAACTTTGAAACGCACCAACTTGAAAATGCTTATGAACCAGGTTGGAAATGCTGACGAACCAAGTTGTAAATGCTTACGAACCAATTTTCTTCCTCTGTTAACTAACTTGACTCGGTAATGGTATAGTCAACAGACTACTTCTCACTTGGCAAATAAATATTTCATTTACTTGGTATCGATTACTTTACTTTATATCTTATTATCTCCATTGTACTAGTAGCCTCAGCTTAAGTTATCGCCTGAGGTTTCGAATTGAAGCTTCCAAGTTTATCAGTTCACCCACGCAATTAGATTTCCCAAAGAGTCACTAGCAATTGTTATAATGTCTGGATCAAGGAAATAAATGGCAGAACCAAATGGATGGCTTGTGTATCGACAGGATGCGCGCAACATGAACCTAAATAAGAGTCTCTGCAACGTTTCTTCATTGTTTTCAAGACTCACCAACGCATTAATAAATGTGTCGTGGAAGTCAGGAGTAAAACTTTCGAGACTTTATACCGCAAGAAAATACCTCACCAATATATGGTTCCGCGGATGGATGTATTGCTATAACTATTTTTTAGTTTTATGCTTTCCATTTTTATAAGACAATTACCTGATCGGGCACTCTAATAGCTCGCTTAGGAACCGCCTCAAGAAAGAGGAAAATCGTTAGTTTTATGACATCTCCCTTACAAACTGATTTCGCCATCTGGTTGAACTGCATTTTGCACCGTAAAGAATTAAACTGTTAATTGGTGGTAACGGTCACAGGCAACATCTAATTGGGCCCTGGTTCGATGCATGTTAACTCTATTAGATGAGATGTAATAACATCGAGAGGCGTCATGTAGCCACCTGCAGTGTCCCAGCAGTTTGTTTTCCATTCGTATCTGTCACTCGTGGAATGCTTTCCTAGAATCGGTGGTCTCTGCACCGACACTAACAGTATTTACAAGACGGTTAGATGACACACTCACCCACTTACACTTTGCCACTTAGAACTACGTCTCCATCCTACACCTGGATTATACCATAGAATTATTTGATGTTAACTGCGTGTGCTTTGAATCTAAGCTGTGTGTGGGACTACGGAGAAGCAAATGATAAGTTCTTTTTTCATATTTGAGGTACTAACAGTTTACTATCATTAGTATCCTTCTTTATATTTCGAAATCCCCACCAAATATCCAACTTGACTTGTAATGCAACGCTTCTTAACCTGTATAAACTCATTATTCATGATTCATTATTGTTGTTGGCATGATTATACAACGGTTATTGGACACTTAAAGACGGATACTTTACCGTACAAGTTAGATAATATTATACACTGATTTCAGCTATGCGTGCAGTAACAGTCAATGTTTACTGATCAACTTTAAACCGAATAATTTGTCTCGTTTTCTTCAAGGATAAGGGTTACTGAACTCAAAGTCGTGGTCCATGTTTATTTCCTTAGCTTTATAGACTAATTTAATTCTAACGACGAAACTTGTTCTTCTTAGATTTTATTGTGCGCGAAGCAAATTCAATCACACTTAGCACTCACTGTTTTGGCTTAGGTATTGGCATACAGTGATCCCAAGCGTGTCAGACGGGGCCACTGGGTCGTCCGTACCAATAAGCTCAAGGTTGTCTACTGTAGAGGCTGGAATTGGGCGCGTGTACTGTTGGGAATGCAAAGAAATTATACAATGGGTTGCGATTTATCGAAATGGCTTTTTTGTAATATACGAGCAATAACGACAGCTGTCTGGCTTTACACTCAATTTGTTGTAACCGTTTCAATATAACGAAGTAGAAACTGGCTTACTTATAACTTTCCTTATTAGATTCCATCGGTTGTGAAGAAAAGTTGAACGTTGTATTTCTTCGCAACTTTTGGCTGACCGATAGACATAGAAATTAACTGTTTTACTTGCTCTATAATTTAACAGATTATATATGGTAAGACGACCGAAACTTCTTCCGGTGTTGTACACACTACCACTAGCGATACGTTCGCTCTATTTGCTTGAATATTGTTTGAGTATGTAGTAACTCACTGGTTTATGCTTCCCACTTAACAGAATACATGACAATCGGGCTGGTATAGTTATATATTACTTCCACTGAGTTCATGTGTGTGACATGCACAATACGTTGTAGGTGGGCGTCGCGGAAAACAGTAATCATGACTGAATACTCTTGAAGAACTTTCTTCTCACATAGCACCATAGAGTAGCATCTTTCCGAAATAACGTAATGAAACTGTAACTGATGAATCTCTAAAGCACGGTTTCAGATGACCGACACAAACATTTTTTCAATTCAAACGGAGCCCCGGCAAAATGCGAATTAACAGCTAAATATTTTGTATTTGAGCTGTGTCCGTCGTTAAAGAAAATACAAGAAAATACAATACAATACATGAAAAATACAAGAAAATACAAATACAAGAAAATACAAAATGATCTTAAACCAAAACAAGAGAGCGACATAACCTCCGCTTGCGCAGCAACCCATGAGGTAATCCGAAAGGCACGTCTATCGCACCTAACTCAATACTTAGACATGGACTTGCATTATGGTTTGTTATGAGGTAATGGAGCAAAGTAAAATTGCCAGTTTTCCCTAAAAATGAAATTTGATTTTTCCTTACGTTTTAACTTAGAATCCATAAAGATTCATTGTGTTAGTGACTGTCATGAAAATGGTGAGGAACGAAAAATTACTGCTAGCCTAAAAACATTGGGCAAGTTCTCATAATGTGAAATTAATATTCCACACATTTATACTGCGCTTCCTCTGATCTCATATGGAGTATTCTTGTATTCGTTTATTCCGTTATATTATGACAAATAAGACTCTCCGCTCAGTGTGTCCGGTGTCTTTAATTAGCCAAAAGTCCTTAGAAAATAAATCGATATCCGCAAAACCATACGCTCTATGAACGAAACGGGTACATGCCATTATGCTATCAGCGAAAATTGGAGGAGCTTCAAAAGAATAGCCGTATCATCTTTTTTAGTCATTTCTCGTGAAATTCGACCTAACTGTGATTGTGTCTTTTAGTGTACCACGGCATTCTATATACTGCTAACCTGTTTTTAGGTTGCTGTAGTGCAAATGACCTACACGCATTATTTAACAGTTGAGAACGTCTAGCACTAAACTCCACTTACCACCAATCTTTACTGACTGTCACGTATTCACAACTGATATGCATTTCACAGTTTCAATCTCCATACTTTGTCTGATTCGTCGGAAGACCTGTTTTAATTTTGAAGAACGCTGATATTTGAAATCTACGTCGGGGTTGAAACACCTTATTTGCTTACCTGAATCAAATTAAGCTTTATCGATCCAGCGTAAATCGTTGGGCATCGTTCTCCGTTTCTGATGAGGCTAAATGGATAATTAAAGCTAGACGGGAACTGTATCCTGTCCGGCTCGCCAGCTTTCATGGACTCCTGTTTTCTTAACTCATTCGACTGTCCAGTGCAGCATAACTTGAGACGAAATACTGGCTGGGTAAAATGTAGTTCATTAGGACGAAATCCTGAATTGATGCAAAAGTATATGTTCTGTGTGAGTAAATGGATATGGTTAAATTTATGGCAGATGGATTGAGAGACAATATCTACATTTCTTTTCAGAGATGTTTTCCTATAACAGTTTACGTTCACTTAACCGGACGGGAATCTGTTGCATACGTAATTTAACTTTATATTCGCAACCTACCTTGTGGACATAAGAATTCGCTGGGTATTCCCCATTCGGATTCGGAGGAATGCTGAGGACCATTTTCCACCGTAGTCTCGTCGGGCGTTACGACTGCACAGTAACCATCAAGTGATTGTTTCAGCAAATCCAACTGGTTCTCTAATGGTTCGCATATGGTCGTGCTAGCTCCCAGGAGAAGCATTACCTGCCTTGAAATTTGTAGTTTCCGAAAAGCAGGGGGACATTCCGGTTGGTTAAAGAGTAAACCCAATTTTGAAGGACCTAACCAAAGTAGCAACAAAACAAGTTATTTCTAAGTTGATGAAACGCACACTGTTCGAAATCGGAGTTATTAACTGAAACTGGTTTGATACAAATGCATCTAAAGCCAGAAGGTTTAAATTCCTAATTCATTAAAACTTTAGAGGGTAAGTTGTAGTTTTAGGTACCAGACGTTAGTCCGGATATCGGCAATACATCTCATTTTTAATGGTAGTTCACTTCAAACCAAGGTTTGATTAATGTGATTACTGTGATGGGAAGCTGAGTGAGCAGTTTAACTTGCTATTCCTTCCAGCTAGTACTTTCTTGTTTGGGGTAGTAATGGTAGAATGGTTCGTTTCTTTAATTATACAGACAAGGTTATGACGGCAGTCGCCTTAATAGTGTATTACATGAACCACAAGAGGTAACAGATTATGCCAAAATCCGTTTGTTTTCTTGTAAATACAGAAGCTGCGTTTTAAAAGATCAGGTAATTCAAGGACCCTGAACTAAATACACTTAACAGAGGTACACTAAAACTCCCACCGAATACACCCGGGATTAGGCCATAGCCTGATCATGAAAGGGGTCACTGAGGAGTATATGCAAGCGTTTTTAACGCAGTTCTGTAGAGTTGGGTCGGTGAGTTGACCTGGTAATGTAAAAGCACAGAAGCGCAATACAAATCATGTGAGAATAGATCAACGAACTGAATTTTCAGAAAAGTGAAAGAGAAGCTTTGTTTGTTAGCAACCGTTAGTGCCACTACCACTTGTCAACTACTGCTATTGTGCCTGTCTATAATGAAAATGCAAAGCACGTTCTAGACCACTTGCTAATTATTTGATGAACATTATCTGCAGGTTACCTAAAGGAATTAAAGGAGTTCGTGGGCAATTGACTTATACATTTCCTAAACAAATGGCAAGGGTTAAATGAAATCGATACCTCGGCTACCTGTTGCTGTGGCCGTAGTAGCATATTTCGGCAGTGACTAAACAAATCAACACTATGACATGAGAATCGGATTGCGAATAGGATAGTAGATCTACTTTGCGCATGCGTATTATCTTCAGTATTTTGCACTCTGGACCCAAAACCTATTGAAGGAAATAGCAATGCATTTGACATAAACACAATTCGGCACACATGATAATGATGCGTCAGGTTATGTTGTATTGAATAAGGTACATCGCCTCCACGTGGGTCATTAGGAACATAGGTCAACAGGAACATATACAGGTTTGGCGAAAAGGAGTTACGTTCCACTAGTTAGGATCCAATTGTGCTAGCAACTTAACAATCGTCAACAGCAAACGGCAATTATTTTGTCAGCACTCGTCAATAAAATGGACGTGTGACGTCGATAGGTTATCATGGAGTAAGATCCCTGATTTTCACATAATCCCTTCACCGTATGTCCGCTCCAATTGCTTAGATGACACCTCATAAAGCATATTTTGGACGTTGTGTGAGTACAGCCTAAACAATCTACTCCGTATTTACAAATGGTGCAGTTTTTACATCATCCGTACATTATTTTGGTTGTGTATATCTGGTCATCCACCCGAGCCATAACTGAATATACGTTTCTCTAACACTGCACTGCAATTCTGTCTAGGAATGTCGGAAGATGAATTATTTAATTATTTTGTGTAAATATGGTTTAATTCTCCCAGTTAACCGAACGCTATCATAATAATTTACTGGAAGTACCACATAGGTATAATAATTAAGTAGTATTCTCACTTTTGACCTTCTGTGGATGTTGAGATTTTGCGCCAGATTTGACAGCGTAGTATTCACACACCACTTCTTCTGGCAAAGTGAACATCAAATCAATACGCTGTTCACTGTTTTTTTGTGGCCTCACTTTAGATAAAAGCACTCTGGTTGTGCCTTCAACCACTGGACAACGACGTACGGAGGCGAACATGACATCTGAAGAGCTATAAGTTTCAACTTCCTCCGAAGGATCAAAGCTTAACGAGTAATTTTTGCTCTTTGTGCTAGGTTGCTGCACATCTGCGGTTTGTCGTGTTTGTCGCAATCTATTCAAGGGCAGCGTTGTTACCTCCGAAATATCTTGTATATGTGGTTTGTATCGAGCCACTTTTTCGACCATTATATATGGTTTTAGAGTGTGGTTTCGAAAATAGTGCGGTTCGGTGCAACAGAAAATATGCTGCAGAATGTTATCGCTTGTTGCTCTCCAAGCAGATGGGCCAGAAAAATGCTTGAAAAGTCCAAAGTTTGATTGGAATCGCTCCGTTCGTCTGAATCCTGAGAAGAGTAAATGTGAAACAATATGAGGTAACGGCAATGAGGCACGAAGTAACGGATATCCTCCTATTTATCAAATAGCTTATTCGAAGGTTATCTTAATTGTAATCTTAGCATCCAATGTGGATTAGGTCATTTCAGTTTATCTTTCTTTTTGCCACCTCGATCGGACCCATAACCTGAGAAAACGTGATACAGGTAATTCCTGGGACTTTTTTCATACTAAATGGAGGGTAATGGAATCAAATCATTTTAGCAAGTTGTTGATTTAATTTACTGGATCAAAAAAGATACTTGTTTTGAGCCTTGAAATGTAAAAATGAATCCTCCTGCTTGGCCAAGTGAAAAACGTACTTTATTTACCGTAGGCATTGTGGTCGATATTTGTGAGATCCTGCACTAGCTGAGCTGGAAACGATGTGTGCGCTGCATCAGTGTCAAGACAATCTCTAACATTACATTAGACTATGTGATGCTTTCATTTTTATGACTGATGGCATCGTCCGGACGTTTCCATGTTACAACCCAAAGTGTTGACCTGCAACTTATAGTTTTACTTTATAAAGTGAACGTAAATTGTAAAGTTTGCCCAGTTCATATCCTAACCACTCTACTCGGCAAGCCTTATACATCTTCCGAATACACTATTTTATCACAAATCAACTGTATGCAAATGTTCACTGTTGCTTCCTTGGTGACAACATAAAAGCACACTGGGGAGAAAACAACACCCAATGTCTTTCTACTTCACTTGTTTTGTCATTGACTGAAGTTAGCAAACATTATTTTACTGCAAATTTCAACCAGTGAATGTATATTTTCGACAAATTCAGGCATGACTGAAGGCCTAGGCACTACATAAATTCACCGAATTGTTACACATTTCTAGGCGGAAGATCGAAACGGTGTTCATCTAAAACGCAAAAATGCAAATTGGTTCGAACCGGTTTGGAATGTCTGAGTGTAACTTGTTAGTGTGAGAAATTTCGAGACATTGCACCGTGCCTGTAGGTGTCGTACACTTTACGGGATCCTCTCATGGTAGAAACACTCAAGTCGGATATGTCAAGTTTGGTGAACCCCAGTGTTGAAAGATGCTTGCGGTGACTGGGAATATATGATGTTTGTTATTAAGGATTATTAGATGATAGGTAATAATTAGTACCTTAGGAAACTCCGAGTACACAAAGCGAGCCATGGCTTCCGCATTAGCACTTACATTGTATTGCTCGATCCCTAGTCAGTAAGTGCGGGTTATTTTGTAGGTGCCGCATATTGTCAAGTCCATTAAGTGTACTCTTTGGTTCTTAATGACTATTAAAGCCAGCTTGAGGTACCTTGATGATGGTGAGATGCGAGGCTGCGGGATGCCAGACTCCTTTGCGACGAATGGGTTTTGTTAGTTACTTCACGATAGCGCTGTGTCTTGCAGCGATCATCTTAGTTTACTAATTTAGAAGTAAATGTTGGTGGCTGAGGTTATCCATTTGTTAGGTGAACTGTTCTCTGAGCTTGGCAATTATTTTGCAAACGTTTCGTCCCCAGTCCAGGCAACATTCTCAGTGCGTTAGTGCGTAGAGCAGTGTAGTATAGCAATGCCTAGTGATGCGTAGTTACGCAACGCTTTACAACACTTCATTACACACTAACGCAATGATGTTATCACCTCGACTGGTGACGAAACGTTTGCAAAATAATTGCCAAACTCAGATAACAGTTCATGTAACGAATCATGGGTTACAGCAGAAACTGCAAGAAGTGGGAAAGTGCTTCTTTTATCCTCATGCTTCTAGGCAGTTAAAATCAGTTGTGTTTGAGAGTGGTCATACCCTGAAGCATCGGGTCTTTGTCTAAAGCAAATCTTTTCAACTTTGGGTTCTCCTGCTGTGGAGTCTGTGATTTGTTATCCAGTTGTAAGAAGCTGGTGCCGTCCACAGATTGTAGTAGTGAGTTCTTCCATATTTCCACTGGGTCCATTTTTTTCAAAAACGACTTGATTCTTCATGATCACAAGTTTCATAGCTAGACGCTAGATGGTATCCACGAGAGGTTCTTCAGAAGCAATGGCATCATACAAGTGCGTCACGGTCCCTCTAGACAGTAATTCTCAGTTGATATATATAAGAAAGCGACGATGGTGCACTCTGGGGTCATATACTTTCCCAGGTCAGCCTATCCGTTGAGTTGGGGATCTGCCTGTGAGCTACCGCCAATGAGAGCTAATTGGTAATGCGCGGTACTAGGTAGGTGTGCATGATGTCCATGCCTTAGTAAGACTTAGGAGTGGCTTTAGATGCTCCTTGCAGCTGTGCTTTGAGTTTAGCGAGTTCGATGGGCTTTTAGCCTTTCAATCAAAAGACAGTTCAAAAAGACAAAATTCCTCGGGTGGATGGATAGAGAAAATCTAAAAGACAACACATGAGAGCTGTGTACGTTCAAAATAGCTAAATTTTTCTTTTCATGTCAGCGGTGATATCCAGTACTAGCGGTTTCATGTGGTTTAGCAACAATCTAATTTGGTGCAAAAGAATTCCTTAAATTGACTTCAGCGTCCAAGCAGAGATACTCTGTCGCAAGTAAAACTAAACACATAACCTGCGTATGTGCGATGGTCGATTGGCCCTGTTGGAGAAATCCACCGCTTCAGTGGGTGGTAACGCATCCTTTAAAGTCATGATAAAGAGCAAGGGAAAAAATGGACGATGTTGATAAACTCCGCTCCCTTGGTGAGTCCTTAGAGCGTTGATGATTGAGGTTCCGGAGGCGTGATATGTCATTATATAATTTAGCAGCAAAGAGGGTCACCAACGGAGCAGGTCGCGCCAAGCAGTGAAGCACGAGAATGGAATCAAAGCTTTTGAAATACGTCGGAAAGCAATAGATAAATGATGGCCGTTTAATTATAAATATCTTACGGTGGGGCTTCAAAGCAGTCATCCTTCCGAAGTAAACCAAATTTAAGACGGTCAGATTGGAACGCTGAAATCCAGCGAACAAACAAAAGTTGTTGAAGCAGACGAGTGCAAGCTAAAGCCACAGAAATGGGGCGAAAGTCTTCAGGGTAGGAAGTGTAAGGAATTGTTGGAACAATCGTAATACGAGCCACGTTCATATGAGTAGAAAGGGCAACAGGCTACTAATCAAATTAAAATGACGTAGTGAACCTTGGATCCATTCCACTGATGTCTTTCGGTGGGAAACAGTCTACCCCGGGTGCTGATCTATCCATTTCACCAGTGCAAAAGTCGTTTCCTAAATCGTGATGGGTTTTACGACATCTCAGTTACCATGCGCACGTTCGTATGGCTCCCGGTTTGGGGTTTTGGAAGCGTATCCTTTCAGAAGTCATTGCAGCATGTAATCACCTTTTCATCCCGAATGAATGCAGGTCTCCATGAACTATCGAATGCTGCCGTACTGGCGTCTTTCTTCCGCAAATGGTAGAGACGTTGCGGTGTCCGTTTTGAAGTTGTCGTCGCTGACATCTCTTGGTGACTATGGAGGCCCACCGTCTACGTTTACTAGGCTACCATGTGTGTGAAAAAAAGTGTTGAGCATACTCTTCCCAAGGTGCTACTACATACTGTCTTAGCGTGCTCCGATTGCTTGTCTTCAATACCTGCGCGTAGGGTAGCTGCACGGTGTTCAATTCGTGATGTGCATTGGCCCAATGTTTCGATTCTACGAGAAGAAGTTGAAAGGCAGCCTGCTCGCCAGAGTTTTCCGTCTCCAGGTACCAGGTATCTGTAGCGGGCTTCGCAGCGTAGTCGGTGTATGATGCAGTTACATCGACTCCTTGGGGGATTCAGTATGGTGCAGCGGAGGATAATAATAGAACAGACGATGGACCGGCGTTTTGTCTTCAGCCTATACCATGGTAACCTTTGTTGCGTGGACTGACACTCATCGTAACGATAGAATGAGCTTGATGGTCACTCAATTAAGAACTGCACCATCAGAGGGGTGAAGTCAGACCTGTGGGGTTCAAACGGAGTGGTGGGTGTATATTATAGGTCAGAGGGTAGTAAAGGGGACGTGGCAACTGTGAGATAAGGCAGATGGTGACGCGGCGTGCCTAAATGAAATAGTTGAATAATTATTGGGATGTTCCTTGACATCTGTCTTGTTCCAAAGGAGATTTTGAAATCGATTCTTAATGAAATCATTTGATCGGCAGAAAAATCGAATCCTTTGCTGACTGTGTAGCCGTGAAAGATTGGGGACGGAGGTCCCCTATCCTTGCTGCAGAGCTGAAGTGACTTGTAGTCTAGCGCAGGTCAATTGCATTGATGGTTGAATAGCCGCGCCAGACGCTCTGCGTTGAAAGTATCTGAATGAGCTTGACTATGACGATGAGACAAATCACGCTTGATTTAGAACGTTTTACTGCATATTGAGCATTTCAGCTCCTTCCAGTTGACGATACCGATATCAGCCAGAAATCTTGGTACGTTGCGGCTGTGCTAAGTTCGGTACTGACCTAAGCCTACGCTTGTGGGACAAGAGCGTGGGTATATGTCACAGTAATGCAAGAGTACTCCTTTGGTTGCAAAGGCAGATTGATTGTCCTTCTTGCTTTACGCCAGATAGTGGTGAGGCGGTGCAGCAGTTGACTTTGCAATCCTGGTATCGGCTGGGGCGCTTGGATGCAAGTTTGATATGTTTTTGCTTCTCCGGAAAAACCATGGAATTTTGAGATGAATGAGATGGTGTTTGAGGCACGGTAGGCGCGTAATTCTGATGGCTGGGAAAGGTATCAATAGGGACCGAGCCGTTCGTCATTGATGAACAAGCGGCTGCACCCGGTTGTCTTGGCAATCCAGAACAGGAAAGGTTAGGAGACAAACCAAGGTCTAGTCCGCGGGCCGTTCGTAAGCCCCAATCCACGGCTTCAGTGACGGTTAGAATGGGAGTGTGGTTCAAGGCACTTATAACTTTGGAAGTTCTTGTGAATGACATGTAGTTGCAGTCTAGTGAGTGGCCAGCCGAAAGAGTATGCG